AGATGTGATTGAAGGTCCAATCAATGAGATGTTAGAGAAGGACATCATTCAGCACAGTTGTAGCCCTTTTGCCTTTCCTGTAGTGTTGTTGGTGGGAAAGAAAGATGGGTCATGGAGGCTTTGTATGGACTATAGAGAACTGAACAAGCAAACCATCAAAGATAGTTTCCTATTCCTTTGGTGGATGAACTTATGGATGAATTAGCAGGAGCTAAAGTGTTCAGAAAAATTGATCTCAGATCTGGACACCACCAAATTAGAATGGCTGAAGGAGATATCTATAAGACTGCATGTAAAACAAACTCTGGACATTATGAGTTTTTTGTCATGCCATTTGGACTTACTTTTTCAGAGCTTGATGAATCAAGTATTCAGACCTTTCCTAAGAAAATTTGTTTTTATTTTCTTTGATGATATCTTGGCTTGTAGCAGTTCAATGGAGGTTCATAGAACCCATTTGCAGCAGGTTTTGATATTATGAAAAACAACACATTGAAGGCTAAACTATCCAAGTGTGAGTTTGGTACTGATAAGACTGAATAATTAGGGCACTTCGCATCTGGAGAAGGAACAGAAACTGATCCCAGAAAGATTTAAGCAATAGAAGATTGGCCTAATCCTACCAATTTTAAAGAGTTAGTTTTTTTGGGATTAGCAGTGTATCACAGGAAATTTGTGAAGAATTATGCCCCCATTACTAAGCCCTTAACCCAACTGTTGTAGAAGGGAAATTTTCATTGGAGCTCAGTAGCTACTCAAACATTGCAAAGGTTGAAGTCTTCTCTCACTACTTTTCCAGTTTTGGGACTGCAAGATTTCACTAAAACATTCAGTGGAAACTGATGCTTCCCTTCATGGGTTTGGAGCTGTCTTTATGCAAGAGCACCATCCTTTGGCCTTTCTAAGTAAAACACTCTGACCTACATGGCTGCAATTATCTGTTTATGAAAAGGAGTTGTTAGCTATAGTCCATGCAGTACAAAAATGGGAACAATATCTAAGCGGCAAGCCTTTTATTATCGTTACAGATCAAAAAAGTTTGAAGTGGTTATTAGAGCAGAAGTTGTCAACTCCTTTTCAGCAATTTTGGCTATCCAAGCTCATGGGATTCCAATATGAGATACAATACAGGAGTTGGAGAGAAAATACTGTGGCATATGCTCTATTTAAAGTCAAAGGGTCAGAGTTGCTGGCCATGGCCATATCAGGGATACAATCTGATGTGTTAGAGATTATTAAGGAGAGTTATCAACATGACCACTTAATGGCTATCATAGCTCAATTACATAAGGGAAGCTAGTAAAAAACTACAATTTACAAGGAGATCTCTTAAGAAACAAGGGAAGATTGGTCAAAGGACCAAACTCTGAATTGAGATTGCAGATACTTTAATGGGTACATGACTCGCCTACAGGGGGACATTCAGGTAGAGATGCAACTATAAAAAAAACCAAAGGACTCTTTACCTGGAAAGGCTTGATTGCCATCTGTTTAAGGATGACAAGAGGTTGACAGTAGTAGTTCTGTGCCTTGGACAGTCATCAGGGCCTTCCAAAATTCCCTTAAAAATATTTTGTCTCTGTCACTCACAATGGTTTAAAGGCCATCCATGTAACTTGAACTCACTATCCAATTATACTTGGGCTACTTCAGCGGCAGAAAAGGGGTGTTTTAAGGTCTTGAGATGCACATATTTGCTGAACTTGTCAACCACCACAAAGATGACTTCTTTTCCTCCAGATTTTGGTAAGCCTTCTATAAAATACATAGGTATATCCCTCCGAACTTCATTCGGTACTTGTAAGGGCTGTAACAACCCCGGATAAGGGCTGGTATCATACTTACAGCTTTGACAAATCGTGCATTGTCTGATGTAATGCCGAACATCTTTATTCAAGCAGTTCGTATATATCCTAATGAATGGAATGCATCTAAATCTGAAAACAATGACAGCATCATCAAAATGTTATATGATTAACTATATATTTTTCTTTCATTTTTTTAAATAAAATCTCAAAGTCTATAAAGCTCTATACTTAGCAATCCAAAAGCCTTCATCCCCTTAGGGTACCCTGGATGGAGGGTTTCAGAGAGGAGCACTCTTTCCTTTGGAGGTCTTAATCTATATTTTGATTTAGAAATTATCTAAAACAAATAAAAGGTGTTCAAAATGTAATAACTAATATGATCACATATTATGTTAATCTTTCAATTTTTTTTATATAAAAATCCAGTGTATATCAAGAGGGCTTGCTGGGAGACATGCTTAGCAAATCCAATATTTGGGGTCTCTACATTACATTTGTGCCAGCAGTAGAGCAGGGAACAGGTCTGAACCGTCAAGTTGGGATGCTTCCAGCGTGGAATTTAACTCGTCTGATTATTCCGTGTTGGACTCTTTTATAAAGAGTGAATCCTCTAAATGAGTTGAACTATGTTCAACGAAATGAGTGTAACATAGTGAAACGAATCTCTGCTCTCTGTTCTCTAGCAACTCATTTGAAACGAATCTTCGAGTCACTACGTACCTATACTATGGTTTATCCTCTTTCGGCTTCATTAGGCTTCAGTGCTCTGACTTGCGGATGAGAATCCCATACGAGAATCTCCCTTCATGCGACAGGTGCGTAAATGTGAGAATAAATAACTAAAAAAATGTTATATTTTGTAATTTAATTGCTTTGTTTTTGAACCGTGGAACGTACTTGTTTGGCAGATTGATAGCCATTAGTGAGGATATATATGCTGCAAATAAGAGCGGAGTTTTTACCGTGGTATGACTATAGTACGACCCTAGATTTGTGGGACTAGCGACCACTGTTATATAGCCACCTGATATATGTATAATAACAGCCAATTCTTTGTTCATTAACGGTTCCTTCATTTGGGCATGTCTAGATACAATGACCTTACGTGTAAAATCGAGCTAGAGTGTAAAAATTATTGGAATCTTTTTTTTTTGGTTATGTGATGCTTTTTTTCTTCTCAAATGGGAACTTTGGTTTGGGTTTTTGGTTCACATCTTGGCATTGTTGCAACGTGTTTTATGTTTTTAATTAGGGAGATGCTAGGGGTACACCAAAAAGTGTACCCTATTTGTACACCACCCCCTCCATAACCACTCATTTATTTTTTATTTTTATTTACTTAATTTTTTTTAAATTTCTTGCCTATTTAAGTGGTAATGGAGAGGGTGGGGGACAAATGAGGTACACCAAAGGTGTACCCCTAGCATTTTCTTTTTAATTAATTGCCCTTTGCATATCTGAATGAAGGAATTGAACATTAAACTAATGTTTTTTCTAATTGTTTCTCTGAACATATATGAAACATACAAAATTAGAAAATCTAAAAAAAACCTTTTTTTGTGTGTGTTTTATATTATTCTAATTCTTGTTATAAATTATTGTTGTTGTTGTTGTTCTTATTGTCATCATGTTATCTTAATGGATGCCTTTAATATAAAAAATATATTATTATTTTTCATAAAAAAAAACTACTTTTGAATTTTTTTATTTAAAATATAAAATTAGCATAAATATCAATATGTTAAATACTTAAAAGTTATTATGGTTATGCAGTATTTATCATAAAATAATATATTTGCAATTATATTTTATATAATACGGAGTACAAGATTTTATTTTAAATATCAGACATGTCATATAATGTAATCAAATTTATTTTTTTAATGATTACTATTTTATCTTCATTGTAACCTTACTTCTGGAATAAAGACGTAGAACTTTTTTTTAATATTTTTTTATGTTTTATTTCTATTTTAGTAATTTTCTCTAAGGTACTTTGACTTTCAAATTTTTTAATATAAAAATTAGAAAAATGAAAAACAAAATTAATTTTTGAAATAAATAAAAAAGAAAAAAAATTGAGTAATAAAGTAATCCCTCCGTCCCATTTTAAAGAGATAAGGACCAAACTAAGAGTAAAAGATATGACATATTCCCAAAATAGGAGTTGAAACTTAAACTCCTCTAAATAGGAGTAATTGATTTAATTAATCTAATCTTCTCTCACACACTCTCCCTTCCCGTCCATTTCTTAATGTCCCCGGGCCGGTGGTCAATGCGGCGGAAAGAGGAATAATGTTGCTGGGTTTCCTGAAGGGTTTTAGGAGTATTCTGAAAATTGGCCGCTGCACATTTTGTTTCCTTCCAATTTGAATGAATTGAGTCAAGAAGTTGACTGGGCTTTGGTGGGTGGGTTGGATTTGTTTGGTTGTAATTTAAACTTGTAATTTGATGAAAATGGTACTTGATTTTATCTTAAGTGTCAACTTGAAAGTTCTATAGAAAATGTGAAAACGAGGAAAGAATATTGTTTGAGAAAGAAAGGCATGATTTGTTACCATAAATCATTTGTAAGGTTACAAATGAAGGCGAAGAAAATTAAATAAATAAAGTTTGAATTTATAAATTATTCAAATGTATACAAAAGAATGATATAGTAGAGAGGCCACTATTGAGACGAGACTTACACATTGACATATAAAGGCATACATGCAAATACATAGTATTAAACAAAGGGATAATACCAAACATGAAAATGTATAAAGCCACACTTGGCAATGTATAATGACAGATATGTCATTGTATAATGCTATATATCACACATGTTAATTACTCCCTCCGTCTCACTGTCTTTGTCCACTTACCTTTTGGCACAACATCCAATGCACTTCTTTAATCTATTTTATCTTGTAATTTGTATATTAAAAAATTATACAAATTATATATTAATAATCTATATGTTAAGACGAATCAAACAAGATCACACATGACTATTTTTAGGTTTGCACATTAAGAGAATTTGATGAGTCAAAGTGCTTAGATGAACAGTTCAAAAAATTAAAAGTGGACAAAGACAATGGGACGGAGGTAGTATATGTTAGCATCAAACTATTTTGATGCCTTACTTTGTCATCTTTGCATAATTTTCAAGTTCTAACCGATGCTTTTCGCCTTTTATGGGGTTTTCTTTCTTTTGAGAGAAGTCTTTGTTAGCCTGCATAGAGAAAAAGTTCGTGGGATTAAGTAGTATTCAAGTCGCACGAGGAATGATGGGCCTCTTGTTTCATATTCTAATTTGGGAAGAGAATCAAAAGTTTTTTTTAATCAAAATCCACCATTTTCGTCGTTGATTTTTTGCCTTCACTGCTGACATCACGGCTCTCTACCACTGTCTCCAACAGCATAAACACAATTTGCATTGTTGATATCACAGTGACACATTAGCTACCAAATACAGTGTTAAAAAAACATAATGTCAAACATTACACCACATAGTGTCACAAATGATAATGCATAATGTCACAAATTCCCATATGTAATGTTTTAGATGCAAATTGACAGTGTCACACAAAGATAAATAGCCCATAGATCAGACAATTATAGTCTAAAAGCTTTTCTTAATCGATATGTGCATTCCAAATCAATAATCAAAAATTAAAAAAATAAGTCATTTTAGGGGGACACAGATGTATTCTTGATTTGCTATTTATAGCTAAAATATACACAAAACATCACACAACTAATAGATGATGCACTGCATAAAGCACTCACTATCAATAATTAGAGTCCAAAAAAGGTAAAAAATCACAAAGAAAAAAGAAGGGTTTTTGGAAGGGGAATTTCGTCGAATACCTTTTGGGCCTCAAACGCATCAAAACGGTCGGGAGAAAAGAGGTGTTTCTCTGCTGGACCAAACAAGAGGAGAAATTTTGGCATACATAGATTAATTGAGAAACGTAGAGGAAATTAAATTGATAGCGAGAGCTTCTTTAGCAATAATAAATCCCCAAACAATAAACCCAATTCAAAAGTTATACGCGAATGGAAAAGGAAGGGCAACGAGGTGGAGAGGAGATGGCGGAAAGAGGATGCGGTAATCGTGACAGAGGGTCGACAACAATGGTAGCTAGGGCAGTGGGTGCGATGGTGCGGAGAAGAAGCTAATCAGAGATAAAAGGAAGATACCATTTTTCTCTTTTTGTGCGGTCAAGAAAAATTGATTGAATATGATGCAGGTAGGACTTTGGATAACATCACTTATTACTTGATTAATCACTCCTATTTAGGGGAGTTTAACTTTGAGCTCCTATTTTGATGATATGATATATGTTTTACTCCTATTTAGGGGGTTTTCTTCATTTTAAATTGCCTGTTTGCTTTTTTTTCTCCGTTCCAAAATAAATTGCCTGTTAGTTGTTTTCGCAAACTTTTAAAAATAAAATATCTAAACTATCTCTAAAATATGTCACTCTTTTTCGCATTATCTTCTCATTCATCATCACCACTCTTAAAAAGTAATGTCAATTTTTTGTTAGTTGTATTTTAATTATTGGTGATATTATTTGTTATCTAAATTTCTATTTTACACTATTTGGGGCATTTTTTCTTTTTCAAGTGCTACTCTGTTTCGCTTTTCAGATTTTGACATTTCGAATCAAAAAACAAAGTGAAAAAATCATTTACCAAACAATGATTCTGATGATTGGATAAGTAAAATAAAAACAATGGAAATATACGGAGTCCTCCTTCAATAATACTCGTAAAAAACAGGAGAGAGAGAGAGAGGCCTGATGAGAAAAAGAATGGATGCGGAGAGGCGATGCGGCGATCCTCCAGATGTGAATGATGGTTGTGGAGAGTTGAATGTTCAACGTTCGGATCGTCACGACCGATCGAGGTTTAAGATAGCCTTATCAGGTTATTAATTTAAACCATAAAAATTAAAGACGAGTTATTTTCTAATAGTTCGATCTCGTTAGATCTGATTTCATTCAAAATATTTTTTTTCTGTGTAGATCCGAAGGTGAAGCTGTTAGAGGAGAAGACATCCTTTCCAAATGTATCGAGGTTAAAGATAGCTTCATCAGGTTATTAATTTAAACCATCAAATTAAAGACTCAGTCATTTTCTATTAGTTCAATCTCGTTGTATTTGATTTGATTCAAATTTTGTTTGTTGTGTAGATCGAACTGTGAAGCTGTCAGATGAGGAGACCACCTTTCCAAATGTATCCAGGCATCGACAACAATGTCTAAAAAATTCCTTCTTTAACACCTGCTTCCAGTTCATGAGATCATACATCCACAAACCTTGCGCACCTATTACAGACGAGGAAAATGAGATTGGCAAACAGTATCTTGATACCGAATACCCCATTTATTCCCATGCCTTCAAACATGCGCCTATTGTCTTGGTAGGCCACCAATTGAATGTTTTAGACTTGCTCGGTGATAAACTCTTGTGTTTCTACAGTACTCAAAACATTCCTAACCCTAGCATTCAGCCCAACAACAGATCCAGAAGTTATGCGGTAAGCACCCCCTTAAACCTGATGGGTAAATACGTTATGATTTGTTGCGTGTTTGTTCCTTCAATATGGTCTTCAGCCGATGCGCGCATGATTTATCACACATCTTTAGCTTCTCACGAGCTCGCTAGAAGAGGCGATTTTGCGCTGGTGGTGGTGCCAATGATGAGGAATGGTTTCACTCATTCCTTCTCTGCCTATGAACACTTCTTTTCGGGCTTTTCCTGCCTTGCTGTCCCTTTCGGTGAATATCTTCGCCGTGAGTACATTTGCTCGGTACTTGGTTTTGATGGTCAGCCTAAAGCTTTGATTCTTGATCCATCTCAGAGGGTGCTTTACCATGGCCAGCCCAAAATGTTCAGTCAGGTTGGAGGAGCTGAGGGTGGTGCTTTTCCCTTCACTCCGGATAGAGTGGGTGCTTATTTACGCCATGAACGTGGTTGGCATGGTCACTACTCCCTCAATGAGCTTTTGGGCCTTAGAGACACTGATGTTCTCTACAACATTGG